CGCCGTCGAGCTCAGTCTACCTGCAACGCGCGCCGAGAGAGGCCGTACTGACTCCGCTCCCACCGGCTGTGATAGTGATAGTGGTTGTGATGCTGTGATAAGAAGTGTTTTTATAACCATTAACCGGACGAGTGCATGTTGTAGTGGTGGTACGGTTGACCGTCGGGATCGCGTGTGTCAGAGCGGGATAAGGTTTTAAATTGTGTGACGTTGTGTCTCGGAGACTTCAACAGGCCATGTGCAAGTGTTCCTTTGTGCGTGTGGCCTGCGTCGCCCTCGCACTCGCGGCGGCCTCTCTTGCTCAAGAGTACAGCGTAAATGAACCAAACAACAGTGATGTTGTCTTTAACGGTGAGTATTTTGACGTTCGAAGCCATTCGATCGATTTCTTCACGGGCGAACGGGTAGGTTGGCCCGTTGGGTCAACTGTTATAGGATTGGTATTTTAGTTCTGGTTTTCAGAGAAGTAAATGCCAGGTTATCCCTTGTCATAAATTTATTTATAAATAGCTGCATTCCATTAAATATCACTAACGTCTGATGTCTGCGCCATCACGAGTTTGGTCCGTAGTCGATACCGCATGTAATGTATTCCGTTGAAAGAGCCGAGTGCATAAGGTTCTTTCATTACCTGCCATCGTTGTTTGCACGTCCGCTTTTACAACAACCAATTTGTAGATATGATTTCTTATGGTAATTGTTCAAGTATAAGGTTCCTTTTAACTCCTTTTTGATAAATAGTTAAATTAAGATGAACACAGGCGCATCAAAATGTCTGTCTTACGAAGTAATAACGTTATTCTTACCGAGCTAATTTTGACAAAGGCCATCACTGAAGTTTGCAACCTTTGTAAGATGATGTAAAGGAGTGCCGCAGGATGGCGGGCTGTAGCTGGCCGAATCCTGTGAGTGCGGGACCCGGAAGGCCACGAGGTAGCGGTTCAAAGTTGCTTTGGTCCCCAGCGACAAGTTAAGACATTCTACTTGTATGTCAGTACCTTAATCGAGTTCCTGGCCTGTGCAAATACGGCGTTCTTGAGGGAGGGTATGGTACTTGAATCATGGTAGGCGATGGCAGGTTTTGAAGGTGGGTTCTCTTGGCACGATGCCCGGGTTTAAGGACGTTGCCTTCTTAAACCTCGCAACTCTCAGTCCTCAACGGTTATTCGTTCACTGTTCCCTTTTTTTAAATGTAAACGTGGTGTACGCTTTTGAATCCTTTGCAGGTGGTAGAATCCTGTAAGGAAATGAAGGAGAACGGTTGTTGTGTTTTATGCCACATCACAGCTTGCTTTATCAGAAACGGATTTGAACTTTTTTGAGATGACCGTTCCGTTAATTTTCTTTCCATTTTCATTTTTTTCTGGTTTTCCTTTGCTTTTTCGTTTTCTTTCTCCGTCCCTCGCCCATTTCATCTTTCTCTTCTTTCCTTTTTCTTTCTTTTCTTTATCCTCTTTTCTTTTCTTTATTTCTTTTCTTTTTTTCTTTTTCTTATCTTTCTTCTTTTTTCTTTTCTTTTCTTCTTTCTCTTTCTTCTTCTTATTCTTTTCTTCTTTCTCTTATTCTTTTTCTTTCTTTCTTTCTTCTTCTTTTCTTATCTTTTCTTTTCCTCTTTCTTATTCTTTTTCTTTCTTCCTCTTTCTTATTCTTTTCTTTCTTCCTCTTTCCTTATTCTTCTTTCTTATTCTTTCTTTTCTTCTCTTTCTTATTCTTTCTTCCTCTTTCTTATTCTTTCTTCTTCTATTCTTTTCTTTCTTTTCTTTCTTTTCTCTTTTCTCTTTCTTCTTTCTTTTCTTCTTTCTTGTTCTTCTTTCTTCTCTTTGTTCTTTTCTTTCTTCTCTTTCTTTTCTTTTTTTCTTCTTTTCTTTTTCTTCTTCTTTTTCTCTTCTTTTCTTCTTTCTTCTTTCTCTCTCTCTCTTTCTTGTTGTCTTCTCGTCTTTCTCTTTCGTTCTGTTGTCTCTCTCGTTCTTTCTCTTTCTCTTTCTGTGTTCTCTCGTCTTCTCTTCTCTTTCTTGTTGTCTCTCTCGTTCTTTCTTTCTTGTTGTCTCTCTCGTTCTTTCTCTTTCTCTTGTCTCTCTCGTTCTTCTCTTTCTCTCTCTCGTTCTTTCTCTTTCTGTTGTTCTCTCTCGTTCTTTCTTTCTCTTTCTTGTTGTCTCTCTCGTCTTTCTCTTCGTCTCTCTCTCTTCTTTCTTTTGTTGTCTCTCTCGTTCTTCTCTTCTATTATAAGGTGACCTATTAGTCATTTATTTACTTAAGTAAAATTTGTATTGTTTACGGCTATATTTTTCGACAGTAGGACACTGCCATAGATGTTGCCATGCATACTAATAGGACTGGAATGTTGAGGATGCCTGACTGGTATTTCCTCTAGTGACCTTTTCCTTTCGTGCCCAGGATACTCACAAGGAATCCATTTTGGCATCCTAAGGACCTTACTCACATTTCCTTTGAGTAATCGGTTCCTACTCGGAATTTGATCATTTTTATAAGATTCTTCCGCCTCTGGAATAATGGGATAGTTTGTTAAACGATGGGGTTAGTTTTTTTATGTTTGGACATTTTTTAGGCATATTCTTTCTCAGGCTATGTTCACCGCAGTAAATTAGTATGCGAAAATAACCCTTGAAGACAAAACTGGGGAGTTCGATGCCTAGAAAATTGTGATCTATATTTTAGAATTTAGTGTGGAGTCGAGATAGGTAGCGCATCGAAAAAATCTACGGAAATCACACGCGAGATTTGGCGCAGTGGTTGTAGGTGGTTATACGGTTATTTGAAAATTGTCAAGTTTTAACCGTTGTTGAAGCCACCAAAACGTTTTTAGTTTGTCCGAAGGATATGCTAAATAAAACTTTTTTGGCAAAACACTGATAAATATTAGTTTGTGATATTAACCGGCAATTTGGTGATGAAGACATTAGTTCACATAAACTGTTGAAACGACAATAAAGATGAATTGGGGGTGTTTTCTTGCTTGGTTTAGCTTTAAATATTTAGTTTATGTACTTTTTTACTTACTTCTTATAATGTCCTTCATTGAAAACATTAGCTTGCCGCCGGGAAAAGAAAGGAAGGAAACGCCAATCCTTAATCTTGCTAGCTCGTAAAACGAGGACATGGGGTCATTCTCTCGAGTCTCTTGAGTCTCAAAGTTCTTCAAGACACGAAGAGCAAGAAGAGGACGAGCCTTGAGCAAGACAGAACGAGTGAAAGTATGGGAGATTGAGTGAGTTGCATTGCGAGGGGGGGGCGGCACAGAAGGAGAGGAAATAGGTGGAAAGAGTTATGGAGGAGACAGGAAAAAGGGGAGAAAATAAGTGAGGAAAGGAGAGGGAGGGAGAAAGGAAGAAACAGCAGGTTCCTACATGACATCCGGGTCTTCATCAGCCGCTTCCGATCTCGGTAAGGAAAGCCTATATGCCGGTCAATATCTCCAAAGAGTATTTTATGGGAGCAATTTTGATTTCCCTTTCTTGGTGCTTGATGGGGGACTGCCCATTACCCCTCCCCCCTCCCCCATGTGCTTATTGCGAATTTTCTGCTGTCTGGCAATTGTGAATGCATCATTAGGTACATGAGACATAAGTATGCATAGAGGGAAAGGGCTTTCAAATTCAGGAATTGAAATGGGACGTTCTGTTTATCAGTTGTAGTAGAGATTGTATTGCTTTCACATTATTTCAATAAATTGAGTGTATTGTTAGTGTATGGACAGTAAAATTCCTGTGATTTAGTTCGGGTGATGAATAGCACACATTATATCTGTCAGTATATGTATATGTGTCTGTGTGTGTGTGAATCTTTATTTATTTTTTAAAGATTGACTATTGAAGCTTGTGATTCTGAATTAATTCAGATTTTTATTATTTTGATCATCAAAAACTTATAGCTGGTTAAATTGAATGTGTGGGATTTTGTTGCTGGCATTATAATGATTGTGAAGTCTGAACCTCTAGCCATTTTTTAAATTTCTATCATATTCTTTGTGAAGGACCTATTGCCAAAGAGGCAAACTTGATTGTATACTGGAGTTGACAGAAAAAGTTAAGCCAAGCTAGATTGACCTGTTTTGCTTACCAATATTCCCAGCATGTGAGGTAATAGCTTTTATTTACCAAATATATAACTAGCTATTTTTAAGATAATGACAAAGTGTACTTGTTTTCCTTAAATACGGTTCTGTCACTCAGTCCCACCACCATCACCATTAACTTTTGGCCCTATATACAAATAAAAGCAAGGACATCAATAAAACATGCTTGTCATGGGTCATCACTCTTCTTGGGAATATTCAACCTTTCATTATTTCCTGTCCTTGGTAAAGGAAGTTTTAGAATTTCATAGTGCAGGATCTGATAAGGAGTAGCAGCTTTGTTGGTATTACAGTATGGAGCCCAAGTTGTGTGATTTTGTTAATGAATCTTTGTATAAGAATAAGAATGGTTGATACATAACCTTTAATTGCTATTTCACTGTAGATATGCAAGAAGTTCATTTAAAAAGAACATTCTCAAAATTATTTGTAAATTAACCTTGGAAATATACAGTGCATATATTTAGGTCTGCAAAGACATAGACAAGATAATATTGTTAAGTTTTTAAAAAGTTCTTCTAAATGCCTTAAATTTGTTAGTTATTTCAGTAGTTTAAATTAGTGTTACATTGCTTAGTTAAAAACTGTACCATATTTTTCCTGCTTGTTTTTTTCAAGAGGGAGTCCTGCAGATTTTTTTATAATCTTTGATATTGTTGTGTATAAGGAATGCATGCAGATAGCTGAGAATAGATATATAGCAGTATGTTTGGTAAATATATATGCTGCCACTGCTTACTTTCCATTAGTTTTTTTATATATACATGATATGATGTGTGTGTGTGTACGCAAAAAGTATACCATTGATCAAACGAAAATTTCAGTAATCAGAAATTCTGTCTTGATTTGTTGATTTCCACATTTCTTTATTCCATATGATTGTCTTCAGGAAGGCTGAAACTTCACATGAATTTATAGAAAATAAGAAAATAAAAAATAAATAGATAAAATCCATATGGAGTTCACTTCTCTGGAGTAATAGAAAGGCAATATGTGTAAGATATATGGTCATTGATACACTGCGGCATAATAACCCTCTATGAATTAGTGGCCACTCTGTGATGGAATATAAAAAATTTTCTATAGTGTAAGACGTCAACAATATTTGGTCTTAAACAGGTATGGTTGCTATGTAAAAAATGTACAAAGCAACAAATTACTTTACTTCTACTTATTTTTCTTTCCTCTTTTACTTGTCTTCTTCCTGAACAGAGAGGCCTCTTCCCTTAGCCATATGTTCAGAGAAGAACTGTGCCTGCTTGCCTCATCATATAGTTTTTAAAAGTTTGGTTACCTTCCCTGAGCTTTTGCACTTTTTATTATTCTTACCATATCCTTTCTGAAGTTGAAACAACTGTGATTGCATGTGTGATAGAGTACATGCATACACATATGCAAATACATATATAATACTTTAACTATCCATTGTTAATCTTGTAGCTAGGGGCAAATAAAGTTTGATACAGGTGACCAAGTCATCATATGGTGAAGGTAGTCAGTGATAGATTTTCACATAACTTTTGCAAACCCCTTTGATACTGTGATTCACCCAACATCATTATAGATATCATTAGCTTTATAACATACATTGCTTGAAGTAGAAAAAAAATGCTTCCTTTGTGTCAATAAAAGCAAGTCAGATATTAAAATGCTTTGTTTAGCATTCCAATTTTAACCAGATGATACTAGAAAGTTGCTTAACCAGTTTGGTATTATGGGTGTGGAGAGTCAATGCATTGGTATAGAATGTAAAGTGGCAGTTGTTCAGCGAGAGTTTTAATGGGATATGTGTGAATGGATACTGTCATGTATGGATGAATTCAGCATTTTCCAGGAGCTTCTTTATTTTTAGAAGGTAGAGTTATCATGAAATCCATAATGCACAGCTGTACACATACTTTTTCCAGTTCTACACATTTATTCACTCAGTGTGTGTGGGTGTGTGCCCTTATCTGTACATAACTCTTACTGTGCCTCCACCTCCCTCCCTCTACTCCTTTGGCTCCATCAACTTGTAAAACAAAAAAGTTCAAGTTTCACCTATACATTCATCAGTGTGACATGTGAAAGGGTGAAAAAAAAAAAGAAAAAAAGAAATCTGTCATCAACTTGCATATAATTAATTTAGCTATATAGAATACACAGCGAAAACAAGTTATTAATTTTGTGTTATGTTTTCAGGAGTTCAGAGTTCTGATGTCTCGTTGACCTTCGATGACTCAGAAATTGTTGTAAATCCAGGAGAACGGTTGGATTTGAACTGTGGCTTCAAAGGAGAGTATCGCTACTGCATCTGGGAGGTTGAGGGAGCTAAGCCTATCCAGGTAAAGTACTTCATTTGTGCATTTGGTCAAGAAGTTGTATCTGGAACACCCATATTATTGTTATACTGATCAGTTATTTGAAGTCTGATTTTAATAATACACTTGCTTATTTTTATGGAAACTGAAGAGATCGTTTAGAAATAAATGTTGTGAATTTAAGATATGCAGGAATTGTCAACACTTATCTTTTTCCTGATCAAGAGAAATTTGGTTAGAACTAACATGTTTGTGTTGTGACAGGTAGAAGATGTTTATGGGAATTTCCATCCTGGAATGAGTAAGCCAGAGGTATCAGAAGGCAATGAATGTGGAATTGTCATAAATTCTGTCAGTACTGAACAACATGGCATGTGGACTTGCAGAGTGTTCATCACTGGAAACTCACTTGAAGGAACAAAAAATGTTATTGTAACTGGTAAGTATTTAAATGATCGACTGAGAATTGTTAAAATGATTTGTTTGGTTCATTAGTTTAGAAGTGTTGTGTATTTTACTCAGCCTAAATCATTGTACTCTCTACATGTTATTTATTTTTAAATTTCAGTAAAGCCAACATACCCAGTTTTAGAGGTAGATAACAGTCAGCTTCTGGAAGTAACCAGTGAGGAAGAGACACCAGTGAAGTGTGTGGTTGCTGCAGCTAGACCAGCTGTGGGTATTCGCTGGTTCTTAGGAGACAAGGACGTCACTGTCATGGCAGAAACTGAAGAAACACCAACCGACAATGAAGTAAGTTGTGGTGTAAAGCTTGAGAGTAGAAAAACTTATTTTCGTAAAAGAATAGATATGCCACCATAATCGGAAAAAAATATATATATATATAATGATGATGATAATAATCTAATTACTTTCCAGGGCATGTACAAAAGCATATCAACTCTGCGACGTACCTTTGAGCCAATGGAAAATGGAATGACGCTGACGTGTAGTGTGTCTCACAAGACTCTGACTGTGCCTGAGAATGAAAGCATTCCTTTGAATGTTATCTGTAAGTATAGTACATTGTTCCCAATTTAGTTAATACTGCTCATTTGCCTCCCAATATACAAAGGAACCTGTATGATTTTGTGAGATAATTAATTTTTTTTCTTGTACCCCATAGTTATAATAATGTATTCTCTACCCCTATAGTCAAACCAGTTGAAAAGCCTGTGAGCACTTACTACCAGATTCGTCCAGGCTCAGACTATGAAGTAAAGTTGAATTTCTCAGCCAACCCACCACCCATTAGGAAGGAGTGGAGGTATGGAGACAGCTTCCAGAATATTGCTGTCTCCATTGAGATCCCTGGCGCCAAAGATCGCTATGAGACATACATAGAGGTATGTGTCTAGAAAAACATATTTGGATAATCTTCATAGCTTGCTGTCTTTATGCTGAACATGTTGAAAGCTATATATCCTTTACTGATGACTGTTTTCTTATCAGGAATTAGGCAATGGAATGTATACTGCTACCTTGAGGATTGCTGGGTTCAAGGAGGAAGATGCAAACCAACGGTACCTCTTGGTTGTAGAGAATGACATTGGAGAAACGACATACAAAGTGCGGCTATCAATGGATGACGCTCCCAAAGGTAAAGAGAACGTTAACTAATGTGTTGTTTTTTCAAAATGTTCTGTGGATTATTTTCAGAAAAGAGATGATACAATGCTGAACAATTACAGTCAGTCAGAATTCAGATAAGTAAATAGTTATGACTTGTTGGCAGTTTAAAATTTGTATAAAGTGGCCATCTAGGGACCTAAGTGAATGAATGTGTATATGTTGTCCTTTTAAATTGCATCACTGTGTGTCCTATTTCTGGTTTTAAATATTTGGTGTTTCTAATTTTGCATCTTGATAACCTTCGCTGCATGTTTTGGGTTTTTATGTGCATCAACGGAATCTTAAACCATTAAGAAGTTATTTTAACATTTTTTTTTTTATGCTTTGGGTTTGGTGTAATTTTTTGTTTTCTTTTTTTGTTACTGTGTTTATTAATCTTCCTATCTTTTTTTCCCCTATTCTCTCTTTCAGAACAGAGGAATAACGGTATTTGTATAAAGTTCTTGCCAAGCCTTATTCTTATATCTTCATATTTCTCATCAATTGTGTTTGATGTATTTTTTAAAATCTTTAATTAAGAATTAAGACATGGCAAGAGCGATGCATTTACAGACCTATTTTAAAGGAAACCAGTGAGTGATTATTTAAAACCACAGAACACTTGTACAACTACATTTGCACTATATGGCTTCATTTGTGCAATCACTGACACTTGTGCATCTTTTCTTTCATTTAGTATTTGAAGCTTTTAAATTCATAACACCTATCACTGCTATCCATAATACAGTATGTTATGGTAACCACTGCCTTTGCTTTAACTCACAAGCTTACTCCATGACCAAAAAAAAGAAAAAATAATAAAATGAAATAAAAGAATGACCATAGAGAAACAGGTGACAGACTTCTGTTGATGGGATCAGGCACTCAGAACAAAAGACAAGGGTTGGGGGAAGGGAGCTATGGAGACCAAGTGTGGTTAGTTTGGAAATATGGATTTAACAACTCCACATCAAAATATTCTCATTGGAATCAAGACAACCTCCCTGTTAATATAGGTCTTCTGCTATTTCCTCTGTTCTCCCAAAAGCCTTCTAGTACCAAATCATGGTTTTTGCATCACTGTACTTTCATTGTGATGTAACCTCAGTGTGTGTCTTGTTTCTCCCTTAGATGGTGACTCAGAAACTCGCGACCATGACAAAAATCCATCCACAGAATATTCAGTGTCTGAAGGTATTGTTTTCGATGATGATACGATGTCAAGTAAGTCAGGGTGCTAACGTCCCTACTCGCCGAGCCAGTTGCCTTGTTCTCTCGTAATGTTACTTCTGCCATTCTCGGACACTTCCTGCTGCTGACTTCACTAATAATCTTCGTGTTAACTAATCATCTTGATACTAACTGACTTTCTAACAGATCCTTGACTCGCTACTCCACAAGTCTATATGATTTGATAACAAAGAAACCTAACTGGTCTCCTGGGGTCTTATGATGTGGAGGAGCAGTGGACTACTTAACCTTCCCTCATGTTTTCTGGTCATGGACTAACATATGCAGCATGTCTTCTTTTAGCTGTTAATACTTTCTTCCAAGGTTCTATCCTCTAATTTCTTTAATTTCTGTACTTTCACATCAGATGATGTATATAGATTTTATTATATGAAGCTATAGTTCACAGGGACATTATGATATGGTATAAATATGGTTTTTGAAGATCTGCGAATCAGCAAGAGAGAGGTGAATTTTTAAGGCATGGAGTTAAATGTCTAATGCATGATTTGAATTCTGCATGTGGTTCTATGTTCTTTTCTTTTTCTGGCCTTCCTGTCTACATCTATGAATGCAGTAAGTTCATTTTGCCTTAATTTTGTTAAATGTTGTAGTTCAAATGCTTTGCTTTTGTAATTTGCCAAGTTAGCACTGACTGACATTTATGTTAACTTAATGTGGGATATATGTTTATGAAAGTGACCATAATCTTACCACTAATTAGATAATTCTCGAAGCCACACATTTAATGGAATGAATGCCAGTGAAGGAAAAGTTGTTGTTAAGTAATTAATCATAATTTCTCTTGAATAGATACCCTGAGCGGAGGAGCGGTCGCAGGCATTGTGATTGTTGTGCTGGTTATTGTTGCTGCCGTTGCAGCTGCAGGTTACGCACGGTACCGCCAGATGTTCTGCTTTGGTAAGTACCAACACACAATGTTCTTGATGTGATGTTAGTATGGAATATGGGTATTTGGAACCATGGGCTGTGAATGAACTTATGGCATCACCACAAAAGTGCATGAACACCTTCCTTAAGAGTAAAAGAAATTGCCCATTCTATGGTATTTATACTCTCATCATTTTCCACTATTCTCTCAATCTGTCAGCCGTGCAATGATGCAGCCATAGCACCACTGTACAATTGATACAGATGTTTGTTGTATCTCAAGGTATTTGATATGTGAAAAATTGATGACTGTATAATGCTTATGTGGCAGTTAATGAAATGCACCAATTTTCATGTGAGGAGTCCTGCATGTGGAACAGCTAAAAGCAATTTAGCATTAGCTTTAGCTTTACTGTTATTTACTCATATTTGTGTAAACTGAAATACATTCCTAATTTTAGCTATAATATATTTTATTTTATTTTCAACCCTATTTACTTTCCAACTTCATGTGGTTTGGTCAAATAAGTAGATCTGAATGTTTGAAATTTCTGTTGTGCACATTAAATGTGGATTTATCTTTAATTTTTTAAAGTGAAATGTTTGAAGTACAAAAGCCAAACCACTTGCATGACATGCATGACAAATCACTCCTATTGTATACCACTATGGCAAATTCAGTAGATACATCATGAGAATGAATTATTTCAAAATGAAAAAATGCTTGGCACTAATTCCAAGCATCCCACTGTAACCTGTGGAATGGCTCACCTGTGTTGGACCCTGGCTTCTGCCAAGGTCAAGAGTTAGGGCTGTGAAAGGCAAGTGTTTTGGCTGGCAAGACATTGGCTTCCGTTTCCCCTTACTTCATCCTCCTTTTTATTTTCACTGTTTTGGATTCAGATCTCTTTGGGGGAAATTAAAGAAAATAAATGTTAACCTCAGGCTGTTTGAAGGACAAGTTCAATTTCTTGTAAATTTCAGCTCGTCCTTCAACAAAGCGTGGGTTACCATAATCTTCTGTGGAGTCGGGAAGTGGGACGTTCTGGTGCAGGGTACAAATTATATTTTTATAGTAAATAACTTGGTTTATATTTTTTCAGACTTTAGCTTTTGGTTAAATTTGCATTTTTTCGGTTTACTTCAGCAACTCTATATTTAACTGGCTTATGAACGTATTGTTTTAGCTTTAGCTAAGTTTACTATGTCTGCTGTTTTGTTTGTTTGGCATTCTCTTTGTTTGCAGATTTTTACTTTTAGTACAAAGACATTTTTAGGTAGCCTGCAGCTTATTTATTTTGCTTGACATGCTATCACAGTGTAATACATTAATTGATATGTAAGTTAATATTTTAGATAATTGACTTTATTCTTTTATATGTTATATGGACAATTTTCAAAGCATTCTTGAAATATAAATTTTTTTGACCAAGATAGTTTTGCAGTTTGTCTTTGTGATTTCCCCAAATTCTCTCTAGATTCTATTTCATAGACTTTTAGACATGTATGGCATATTTTGATTGTGAAGTACGTGGCTATATCCAACCCTCCTTTCCAACATCCTTTTGCACAACAACACTTGCCTCACTAACCCTTGGCCCGGTCTGCCACAGCCCCACGTGCCGAGAGTAAAGCCTACATCGGAGATGCAGAACGCAACGAAACAGATAATGGCACAGCCAACGATGCTGTCAAGGCCTCCACCGACCACGTCAACGGGAAGACTGACGGCACTGTAGCTAATGGCAATGGAAATGTTGAGCAAACACAAGTGGAGGAAATCAACAATGAAAAAAAGAATACAGATGTGTGAACAGTAATGGATAAAATTTCTGAATGATTGAAAGAGACCATCAAAGCTCAGTGCACATGTTTCTGAATTGTAGAGGACCTGGACACATTCAGGAAAATTAGTAATAGCACAGGCTCCAGATCAGTTGTTTGTATGTGTGTATGTATATTTTTATGAAGGAAATGTCAAAGTGTTTTGACAGTCATGCTTAATGTCTTTGAATGGTATTATTCTCCCAAAATCACCTTAACTAGCAAGTGTATTGCAATAAATTCAAGAAAAAATTAGTTTCTTAAAAGGTTTCTCAGGTGATATATTCTTATTGAAAGACACAAAATTCATGCTATACAACTGTTAGTTATTGTGCCTTAGAAATGATGTAAAACTCTTCTGGGGTCATGTGGTTAACCTTTAAGGATGGCTGCTAATCAGTGTTTGAAGAATGGGTTGTATTTATACACTGACTTGTGATGTGTGTTTGTGTACACTGTCACTGATTAGCATGAGCTGCAACATTTGATGATGCCAGTCCTTATTATTGAATAATAGATGTGCTGTTTATATCATTCCATTTTAGACATCACAGGTCACACAGCTTTACTTGTTCTGTGACAAGAGCCAAGGTTCAGTTTTGAGGGCCTAGCTCTGTACAGCCAATGATGTACAGTCTTAAATGGTTAATCATCTATTTAGACAAGCCCTGTGGGTGTATTTTATTTATATTTTTTTCATTGCAGTGTGCACCAGAAAACGAAGCACATAGAAGTAGATAACAGGGATGTTTGGCAGGTGGTTTAATTCTAGATTATGTGCCTCTTCTTAAACCATTTTGCCCAGCCTATGTACCTTCCTGTTGTCTCCATCTATAGATATTTTGTTGTGCTGCCACTTAGACCAGGATGATCTAGTCCTTCATCCTCATAATAAGATGGAGAACTTATGAACTCTGTCCTTTTTGAGACAAAACCAGGCTTTTTGGGGGGAAGCTTTATATTGGTCACAACTTTTTGTAAATAAAATGTTTTCTGTTCTGCTGAAATGGAAAAGTGGGGGGAATATTCATTGGTATCAGTAAAGTGCTGACAACTACTAGAAAAGTGGGATTTTCTGCAAGGGGATCTATTGTTATTTTGACTCAGTATTGGCCATATTATAAAGCTCAGTTTATTTGTAAAGCATCAGCAATGAAAGCAGAAGCTGTCCAACCAGGATACTATCTATGTAACACCACAAGTTACTGCCTTTATACATAAAATTCTTGTAATATGTGGGTTTGTGTAGATTTGAATCACGGTACCATTTGCTGAGTGTGATCATTGTTGTGGTCGATCAAAACTTTATTCATATTACCGTATTCAATGTTTTTACCCATGTAATTTTAAGTAAACTATTATAAGACTTTTAATAAATGTTAAATGGAATTTTTTTGTTTATTGAAATTCCTCTCATGATGTATCTACCTGTAGTTGGGAATATGGAATGTATATTTACCTGCCACTGTTTTGTTGCATGACTGCTTTAGTATGACTTTCAGTTACAATTAAATCAATTTTAAATGCATTTCAAAAATACTTATTTATATATCAAATATATCTATATTTTTTACACTGATAAACTGATGAAACAAACAATCTTACACCTTGCTCAGCTCCTGTAGTCACCCCTGATCCTGAGGAAGGCAAGGAAACCAAAGAAGAACAGTAAGTAACTGGTTGTGATTTTATGTCTGTAGTGTACTAACAATTACTTCCTTAACTATTTACTGTGGCTTGGGTTATTATAATGATGTTAACTGTACAGTATTCTAAACTGACTTTAAAGGTGTATACCCAGAAATGGAGATAGATGCAATAGACAAACCTCTTATTGTAAATATCAAAGAACAAAGATTGAAATGTATAAAAGATATTATTTTCTATTGAATAATCAGGACTTGTGAAAAAGTTCAGTCAAGGAAGTAAACTACATCAGTGAAGAAAACCTTGCTAATATAGCTTGAAGAAACAAAGATGAATTAATGCAGGCAATGTGAAGGATAAATACCATAGATTAGATATATTATAATAACTCAAAAGCCAGGTTTCATATATGTCCATACTTCCCAGTCTTTATAAAATGAGCTCCCCTTCATTTTAAAAAGTCTGCCTTATTTACTTTAATAGATAAAACAAGTATGAATTAAATATTTTATATAGTAATGTTTTGCATAGTATTGAGAATCAAGACACCTTGAATAGTAACAGTAAATTAAAACAAGTATCCAAAAGTAAAATTGTATGAGATAAATTTTAATGTAGTGAGTAGCAATGAAAGATTCATATACTTAGGGGGGGGATTAGAGGTGGGAAAAGAGGGGTAGGGGTATGAAGAGAGGGGTAAAGAGAGTAGAGTTATAAAAAGAGAGAAAGAGGGGGATAGAAGAGAAAAAAGAGAGAGAGGGAGAAAGAAAGAGAGGGGGGTAGGTAGGAAGAGATGGAGAGAGGGGAGGGGAAGAGGTAGAAAGAAATGGAAATGGAGAGGGGGGATAGAAGTAGAGAGGTAGGAAGAGATGGAGAGAGGGGGTAGAGGTAGAGAGGTAGGAAGAGATGGAGAGAGGGGGGTAGAGGTAGAAAGAAATGGAGAGGGGGGGGATAGAAGTAGAGAGGTAGAAAGAGATGGAGAGAGAAGGTGGAAGAGGTAGGAGAGGGATGTAGAGAAATTGTAATAACTCTGTTGCTAAGCAAAAAGACCCAACTGATTGGTTGTGCAGCTACACAGAAAACTCTTTTGGAGGGGTGTTGAAACATTCAATAAAGAACAGACCCTTATGTTATAAAAGGGTTGGTATTTTGGGTTTCAAATGTCTCCTTCAGATTCATGCCTCAAATAGTTGTCCTGGAATTCTTATGATTCACTGAGATGATTTTATTCCTGTAAAGGATGGAATATTCAGATTAGCCACAGATACCCGTGAGTGATTGGAAAACTAGGGATACCAACTGTTTCATAGTGTTAACAACTTAATTTCTAAAGGTATCACTGCTTGTGTCAGAATGTTTTGTATGATTTTTTAATGATCTATCTGTGTAGCTGTACATGTACAGTGAATTACCTTTGCTGTTTTGTTATTAGTAATATGGAAATCATGGCCAGCAATTTTTTTCTTGCTGAAAAAGTATTACACAAATGTGATTTTAAAAATAACTTGAAAGAGTTCACTAGCACCACTTCCATTGATCCTGTTGAACCCAAATTGAATATTTCGGCAGATGTTTATAGTATAGTACAGTAATCATTTGTAAAAGCAGATTTTTTATTTATTTATTATTATTATTTTTTTTTTTTTACAGTTATTTATTTAGCCATTATGTATTATCTCAGTGCATCCATTTCTGATAAATATATTTACATCAAAAAACTCCTCTTCACTTTCACTCCTGTCAGTCTGTGCAATGTATTTTAAAGTGTTTTCTTAGTTTGTTTTCTTTAAAGGAGAGAGAGAAAAGAATAATAAAAGCTGACCATTGCCAACTAGGATTTTTTTTTTCCAAGACATTGATAATACCTAATTTACAATTACCTTAATATTACCAAGTGAGAATTTGGGATTTGTACAACAATGCTGCTTGTTATGTATAATTTTTATATTGCGAGTTATTAGGAACAATGTTTGTAGCAGATGTTGACAAACTAATGTAAATGCAAGATTGATAATTAACATCATCTGAATGATGTGAAAGTATTCATCCTCATTTGTAGTACTATTCATCATTTGCTTGTTAACCCAATGCTGACAGGAAAATATTGCGTTCACTTCGGTATTAATTTGTTAAATGCGTCTGTACATTGATGGCTCTGCCAGTTCTTATCCACAAAGGAGTCAATTAGTAGATCATGTGACCTCACCTTTCCTTGAAATAGCAGGAAAATGGTTTTTTTACAAATGCTATCAATATTGACATTTTTTTGTTATAAACATTATAATTACTATATTTTTATTGACATTACTAACAGCAGTATTAAATCCTAAAAAATGTTATTGAAAAACAAGGAAAAGAGTAAACATGATTGGCTCAGTGGTGACTTAGTACTTGTGGAGCCATCTATATGTACAAGGAATTACAAAATTAAACATATAGTGGGCATGGCATGTACATATGCCATCTCCAGCAGCAAGTGCTTAATAGCAGTATGATACAAAATGGTCAGCTGTTATCACGATTTTCAAGATACTGTCCTCATCATGTAGAACAGTGTTTATTAGATCCAGTGTTTCTAGTTTACATATGATGTATCTGGTAATATTTTGTTCCTGTAGTAAAACTGAGAATCAGCAATGACAGATCCAGTCTAATTTCATAGGTTCCAAATCACTTGGTTCAAAACAAAGTCAGGGGTGTATTACTTCAGATAAAGAATAAGAAATACTGAAAATATTTAACTAAGCTGTCTGCTTTGGATAACTTGTAAATTTACAGATGGCTCCCAAATAGTATAGATTAGTTCTGCTGTAATTACCCTTATCATTATATCTGTATAATTAGTATTTTATTCTCATCAGTAACTTATGAATAAGGTAAGGAAAAAGTTATTTAAATAGCCTGTAGTATCTTCAAATTCAGTATCATGTTTTTCATTAATAGTGAGAGTTTTAACTCAATGGATCTGAACAATAGAGTTAAAAGAGTATTAACAAAATCTTTTAAATAATATAAGGAACCCTATATAAACTTGAATTAAAGAAAAGTAGAATAACATTTTCAGAAAATAATATAACCTCTATTTTATACTTTCATTGATTTATCATTCATTGATTTATCATAACACACTTATTTGCATGTATACATAAAATACTTAAAATTCACCCCTTTTCTAGTATACACAAGAAGATAATTACCATTACTTTTTCTTGTTTTGTGTAATTAATTTCTCAATAACTCGGGAGAACTCAGAAGATATAGATCATCTTCTAGCTCATCACCTCTGCACTGTCTTGCACTGACACTGACCTCTTACTGATGCATGCTTGTTTCAGCAGCGACACTGAGAGTGCAAGAGGGGCAAACACTACACGCGCTGCCAACCTCAAGAATAGCCTTGGAAGACTGACGCAGGTGTTCAAGAAGCCTAAGAAAGAACAGGTAATTTTAGAGTATTTTGAATACATATGGTATTACTTTGCTTTAGTTACTGTTAACCCATTTCATGCAGCTTTCTAGCATGTTAATTTATAATAATACTTTGTTTCTTTTACCTTAGGAGACTAAATTGGAAAATATTGGTGATGATGAGAAAAGGTCTCTCACCACTGAAGATCCTAAGAAGGGAAGCCCTGTCAAGGAGCAGAATGTAGATGATAAAGAGGTAAGAATATTTCCACAGCCAAAAACAAAATACATTTGATGTAGAAACATGACACTGAGAATTTGAAATAAGGCTGTACATTAATGCTGTGATGTGATATTATGTCTTCCTCTTGCAATATGTGATGCATTTTTTTCCAAGCTTACTGGAGAAACTCGCATTCCTGAGGAAATGTTGCCTCCTATACAAAATTCTGAACAAAATAATAGTGAAGTGAAGAGAGAGGTATGATGAGTTTAATCTTTTGTGAAATCTTAGAAGCTGATGGATAAATTGAGTAGATTAAAAAGATCCAAATCACATTAAAAACGAGAAATAAATGATTCTCACTTTGATTCTAAATATTTTAAATGAGGAAAATGTATGAAGTGATTTTAGGATGCAACCTTGAGGTGTATTATCTAAAATTGACTTTCACAATGTGTGTGTGTATATATATATATATTGTATGTATACATGTGTACACACCACATACACACACATATATATATAGACGCACATTTTATATATATACATGTATATATATTTATATATATACATATATATATATTTTATATATATACATATATATATATTTTATATATATATATTATATTATATATATACATATATATATTATATATATATATTATACATATACATATATATTTTATATATATACATATTTTTTTATATATACACATATATATTTGTTAATAATATATATATATATTTTTTATTTATATACATATATATATATTTTTATATGTACTATATATATTATATATACATATATATTCATTTATATATATATTATATATATATATATATATATATATATATATATTTATATATATATATATATATATATATATATATATATATATATATATATATATATATATATATATATATATATATATATATATATATATATATATATATATATATATATATATTATATATATATATATATATATATATATATATATATATATATATATATATATATATATATATATATATATATATATATATATATATATATATATATATATATATATATATATATATATATATATATATATATATATATATA